AAGGGCTGATGGTTGTGATAGTGATGTAAGGGTTGTGGTGATGGCAGATCATGGGTAAAGAGAGAGAGAACGAGAAAGGAACCTGGGCGGGGGCGATGGTGGAGAGAGAGAAAAGGTTTAGCCGAGAAAGAGGCGTCTGACATTGAGTGAGGGTGAGAGAGAAAATTAGATGGGGTGGAATTTAAATGCAAAATATTATGGGATAAAATGTTAATTTTTTGACCGTTGGATGAATGAATTTAAGATTGTTGGATTTGTTTGTTGAGGTCACCCTATTTTATATTATAATTATAATATATTAATATTCTATATAGATTATAGATGTAATACCCGAAACAAACATGCTCTAAGAATAAAGTGTAATTTACTCTTTCTTTTTTAACTATTTGAGTAAAGGTTTGGGCCCATTGGAGAATGGAGGGGTCTGACTCCTCTGCGGTTGGGAAGTTATCGCATATCATGTGGTTTAATAAAACGTCGGTGTTTCATTTTGTTTTTTGCTTTTTTTTCCCTTACCAAAATGACGTCGTTTTGGTCCTTTAAATCAGCATCAAACCCCTCCCTTTTCTTTCTCCCGCTTCTTCTTCATCGTGTCTGGTTCTCCCGCCTTCTTCACAGCTCCAACTTCTCCATCTTCTTCTTCGTCGGGTCTGGTTCTCCAGCTCAAGCTCAGTGCACTTTTGCTTCACATATGCCATACTGTGTGTGAGAGGATATGTGATGGAATATAGAGTTGTCTTGTCCTTAATAACATTCTCTCTTGTATAATCCTTAGAGTTGTCTTGTCCTTAATATAGAGTTGTCTTATTCGTTGGGTTTGGTTCTCCAAAATGGTGTTGTTTTGTTTTTACAGCAAAAACTGAAGGGGCATAAGCAAGAGAAGTGGGAGAAAAAGTACAAACACGGAGTTTTAAGTCCATGAATAGGTTCTTCTAATTGTTTTTCCCTTTACTGAGACACAAAGCTTTAGTGGGTATGTTGTTTCTGTTGCCTTTTGTCAGTCAGTTTTGCTATATAATCATTTTCATTTCATAAGTATAACTTCAAATAGTTGTAGTTTTTCTTTCTGGATTTACATGTAAAGATGTGATTTTTAATGTGTGTAACTACTCAAATGACTGCAAGTTTGTTTTGATTAGACTTGTTTGAAGTTTATAAGTAAGAACTGAAACTTTAGAGTTTATTTCTAGGTGTTTAATTTGTAAGGAATAAATGATTGTTTTGGGTTTGAGTTATAGGGTTTTCCAAGTTGGGATTTCTTCATTATTGTTCTGGTAAAAAACACTAGTTTTTCTGGGTTCTGTGTGACTGTAAGGGATTCATTCTTTGTAAATTTCTTCTGTGCTATTGCAATGAATAATGGAGAAATATGCAATCTTTATAATTTTTGGTACAAAAATGAAAAGAAAAAAGAGTTCTTGCCACTACTTATTCTGTTTGGAAAGAACTGTTCTCTTGGACACGGTTTTTTTTTTACAAAAATTATGTGTATTAATCTTTTGCCAATAAGTGTATATCATGACCAAAGTGAATAGCGAAGGTGGAATCCAGTAGCCGGCCCAAATGATTGAAACTTGAGACTTGGTTTGGTTTAATTTGGTTTAGTTTATCAATCTTTTGCCAAATTTAGAAAAAAGTACCAATATTAGTTNAAATGATTGAAACATGAGACTTGGTTTGGTTTAATTTGGTTTGGTTTATCAATCTTTTGCCAAATTTAGAAAAAGTACCAATATTAGCTCTGCCCATGGAGTTCTGGCACCACCTTAGCCTTCCTAGAGTTTTATCGTGCTTCATTTTGTTGCCATGGTTTCTCTATTTGATTTGGTTTTGCAAAAAGATGACAATTGTTGTATGGTATGAAGAGATCTTTTTCTCTCTTATAGGTGTTCCATAGCCATAAAACTTCATGCCAATTTCTATGTACATGTTTTTTTTTTGTTCTTGTTAGCTTGTTAATGGAATAATAATTAATTTTCTTAAGAATTATGTAACCTTATGTACATGACATCTAGTTCCACATATGACTGCAAGTTCCATCTAATGTCATTTCAATTAAATTTCTTATTGTAAGTTACTATGATGGATGATTTGAGAGTTAATGCGACTGATAATATACCTCATATTGGTATGCAATTTGATGCGGAGGAAGATGCTTATGCATTTTACAATAGTAATGGAGGGTCTGTGGGATTTAGCGTCAGGAAAGATTTTCAGAATAAAAGTTTGAAAGAAAAAAAGGAGCTTCCCAACCATCACATATGTCTACGGTATCGTATAAATATAATTGTAGATTTTTTTAATTCACTTCATATTTTTATTCACATAATTGTAAGTATTTTTGTACTCCAGTTATAAGGTTTCAGTCAACCGTGTACATCAATATATGGTCATTCGATGTCTTCTCAAGCTTCAAATAGTGTACAAAGTGTTATGGTATGTTACCTTATTGTTAATTTTATTGTTTCACATATTTATGAAGTTTCTTTGTCTGCCTCCTTCTCATTAATGTAGGGTACTTCGATTGATTCAACATATGTGCATTCTTTAAATGATGCTGAATCATTTTTAATGAATGGGGAATACAACTTGTAAGGATGCTTGAAGGATCAGCAGTTATAAGGATGCAGATGGAGACTACTCAATTTCTCATTTTGTTGAAAACTATTTATTTTTAATGAGACTACTAGCAGTTGTAAGGATGCTTGTTATATTTTTAATGAATCGGATCTTTTTTTAATGAATGTGATCTTTTTTTAATGAATTTGATCTTTTTAATGAATGTGATCTTTTCAATGAATGCGATCTTTTTTAATAAATGTGATCTTTTGAATGAATGTGATCTTCTTTTGAATGAATGTGATCTTCTTAATGAATATGATCTTTTTTGATGAATATGATCTTCCAAGTCACAACAATATACAAAACCCACAATTTCATTCAAATTAAACCATCAAGTTCATTTACAACATAAGTTTCATTACTACACCGTTGCTCTTATAGCTCTACTTCACTACAATCACAAATATAAGCATCACCACTACTAAAGTAACTACAAACATATTTGACTTCATTGAACATTTTTTAGCCTTAACACGTTGAATTATATTACAAAGTTCTTCAATTCGTCGTACATTGTCTTCAATTTGTAGTACATCGTCTTCAATTCATCATACATCCATCCTATCATTTGTAATTTCCGAGGAGGGGAGAGTAATAGGAGTCATCCACTTAAAAAAGTGACTAGAATCATCTAGACATTTGCAGTATAGCTTCCTTGAATTTTTTTCAGATTCGAAAAATTTGATAATCGTTTTTTTGCTACAATTGGGGCAATGCATATTGCGATATCTTAACTCGTCGTTGCTTGTTGTCGTGCTTGAATATGTCATTCTTCAACACTACAAAAATGAAAGGACACTGGTATTAAAACTCAACATTATAGCATAATGATATTCAGCACACATAGCAACAAACATAGCAGCAATCTTGATGAGGTTGCAGCAAACATTGCAGCACAGCAGCAAAACAGAAGCCAGTAAACATTGCATCTACAATATTTCTCACAGTGGAGTGCTGTATTCTTATAGCAAATTAGAAGGCAAATTATGTAATGGCAAATCCCAGTTTACATGCATAGTTTTCTTTAGATTGTCAATGCACTTCATCAAAGACCTATATGCTATATGCCCTATGGTATTTTGGAAACAAGTCCAAACTCAATCAGATGTGTGCATTTCAACAGGATTAACCAAGAATTTATCAAGCACAGACCAGCTGCCTCTCCATCCAAGCAGAAACAAACCATGGCCTTAATAAACCATAGACTGCCTGCAAGCAATAGCCAAAACTTGGACCTGTACCTCCAGTTGCTGGAATCCTTCCTCCATCACAGCTATGTACTCCATAGCTCAGCTCCTGCTCCACTTCTCATAGCTCGGCTCTCCTCCAGCTGTGAGATGGACTCCTCCTTCAACACACAGATCAACATCTACTTCCCCATAGCATCATAGAAGAGCAGAAAACTACAAAACACTAGATCATCAACCCTTTAGCTGCATCATCATCTCAGCTCCTTTACTAAACCAAAGTACAACTCCAACTCAGAATGAACTACAGGCCATAATAGCTCACTAAAAGCACAATCATCGCACAAAAACTTTCTAAACACAGTTCAGTTGCATAAACACACATATAACATGAACATTGTTGGTGATTTCAAAATCTAAAGTTTTTTACCTCTCTGTTAAAATTGTTCAATCACTCGCTACACATAAATAGATCAAATGTGGCTTTTCTCATAAAGTAACAATATTTACAAATGGATGATATCTAGACAACTCAATTTGTTGAAGTAGTAATCAACTTCAGTTGTGCATAAATTAACATCTTTAAAGCATTCAACAAAGTAGATTGGGTTGGGACAAAAGAAGGAAATAGAGAGGGAGAAACATTCAAACTAATAAACAAGGATGCTACAGCCAAGATAAACATAGAATAATATATATACAGGAACTGAACATTATTTTCACACACTGAATTGAACTATACACACACACACACATATATACACGAATTGAACATATATATGTCGATTTGGTTATGTTGAAGGACAAAATCACCCTGTACATGAAATGGATTTCAAAAATGAAGAATACCGAGTTGCTGATCTTGGTCTTGGTGTTAGAGTTTCTGATCTTCCTCTTGGATATGCTCATCGTGGTCTTGGAGATGCTAATCGTGGTCTTGGAGATGTTGATCACTGTTTAGGATTTTGGTTCATTTTGGGAGTTTTGTGAACGATGTTAGATCTGATCTGGGAGGACAAAAATTGGTGCCATTTTTGGTGGATGATTTTACAAAAAAAAAAAAAAAAAAAAATCTAAAATACCGTAAAATAGTAACGTTTTATTAAACCACATGCTATGCGGTAACTCCCAACCGCATTGGAGCAGGACGCAGAACGGAGATGACTAATTAAGGTGGGGTCGGACGACCCAGCTACATTCAAACTTAGGCTCCGAATTTGCTTCGGACAGCCGTTTGGCTTTCAGACCTCTATCCCTCTTCTGCAGTGTTCGTTTTCCCTCCCTTTCCACTTTCAAAGCGTTTTCTGCAGCTAACATCATTCACGGACAAAACTAAACGAACGCACCGACGCACTAGCGCACACAGACACCTAGGGAGGGACCCCTAAATCCATAACTTCACACACACACAGAGTTCTGAGGATGTCAGCAATGGAGTGCGTCTCCGTTCTGGATTCAGAGAACAATGGACAAGTTGGAGGTAACTTTTATCGTTTACCTAATTCTCTCCATGTATTTGTTTTCATTAATCTTCTTTCTTGTTTTTGTGTCTTCAATACTTTCTAGGGTTTATTTCTGAGGTTAATTTAGGGTTTCCCAAATCTTTTTCTTTGTATGATTGCATTTAACGGCAATTATATGGTGAAAGGCCCCATTTTATGTATCAATTAGGGTTTAACATTCATGCTTTAATTAGGGTAAAAATACCGTAAGTAGTTGGTTTTTAGGTTAATTAAAGCTTGTCCATGTGAATGTACTTGGTAAGTTATTTAATTAAAACTCAAATTTTGCTTGATAAGTTTAATTCTCTAATACGCATTTGGGTATTTATGGTTATTCTTGTGATTTGATAAGTTTCAGACTAATTGAGACCTTCACACTTCATTGTTCTTTCATGTTGGTTTTTTGGTACCCTTTTCCACCAAGTAGTTTTTGTGGTACCTGATAACTCTTTACTGGGGATTACGCTATTACCTGTGTAGAAATGCTCTACATGCTACATTATATAGCCTGAATTCCAAGAATTGGAATTGGACATATACACCATACAAGTTTAAGCACGTAAGCTAATATTTAACCAATTCCATAATGCGGATTCCATGCCCCCAAATGCTGCCAAGACTTTTTTTGGTTTGTGATTTTTATTGTTGTTTTTAACATAGGGTAAGGCTTATATATACCGTTATCTTGTATGATGAGATGATTAAAGCTTGGAATTTTGTGTTGTAGATTAGTTTATCTGTTGGACATCGCTGCTTTTGAGTTCACTGTTTATTGAATGACTATGAAACTTGGTTCTGATAATAGAGACCCCTAAAGTGCACAAAACGACAAAGGGTTCTACTGGGAATGTGGCAAGGAAGAAGCTTGTTGACCTAAGCAATTTGAGGCAGCCGCCTAACCTCTCTGTCCACGCAGAGAAGTCACAGTTTGTTGCAGTTAGTACTAAAGAGTACATTGACCAGCTAAAGAAGGTACATATCTTCTGGGTCTTTACTATTTTCTTGTTTCATACATTTTTGCTGAGTTTCATGTTGTTCATGTTTAGCTTAGTGAGGTTCTCTGAAACTGCGATTCAGGAAAACGTGTCGCTGATGAAACTCCTTGCAGATAAAAAGTATCCTTTCACGATCAATTTGCTTTGTTTTCTAATGAGACATATTTACTTACATGGGTTATCTTCGAATTGGAATTTTCCTCTTGTTGTGGGAATTCCTTAACAATGTGTGACAGCAAAATTGTTGAATTGAGTGGAATCGAGTTACAGAAATTGAGGATCAATTTGCAGAAAGTGCAGCAACAGAATTTGCAGCTCGCTCAATCCAATAGTCAGATGGTGGGGGTATGTTTTCCTCGGGCATATTCTGAAAGTCAGTGACTCGTATAGTTGTCTGAATTTTTTGTGATTTTCTTTTGAAGGTTGTTGATTTCTGGTGACATAGATTTTATTGTTCTTTAATCTGGCAGGAACTAAATACAGGTAAAGATAGGGTAAGTTCTTACTGTCAAATATGGCCACTCAATGTTTTCCTTTTGTTGTGGTTCCGGCTCTTCAAGTTATGAATGAGATTTGGTTGAATTCAGCTAAAAGCACTACTTCATGAGCTTGGATGCAAAAATGGTTTGCTCAAAGTAAAAGAGTTGGCATTAAAGGTCTGTTTAGCTAGTTTCTTCTTCTATTGTCACTAGGCTGGCAAGGTCATCAAATTATTTAGTGTTGACTAGCACCGAGCTCTTGTTTCCTTAGGAAAAAATGAAGGCAAAAGCAAAAACAAAAATGTGTCAAAAGATTGATAGTGAGGTATATAAGTTGATCTCATGAGAATTTCCTATGAATATAGTTTGGAGAATTTGTTTGTTTGACATTCTTTTTGTGCTTGCGTTTTACGCCTTAAGGTGGAAGCTAGCAATTGTAAGCAGGATCAGGAGTCCGTGGAACCAGATAGAGAATATAATAAACCTTGTACTCCCAAGCAGGGGCAGCAATCAAAAAGTTAGTGTAATTACTGCAGTAGGACATTCATTGGAAATCTAGAAACTTATTTGCTATGCTGACCTTCTGTTCTCTCATGGGTAACTTGTAGGTTTGGGCACTTCTACTGTCAAACAAGTTCAAGCTAAGGAGAACACTGAAAACAAAAGGTTTGCTATGCCTCTTATGTCACATGAGGTGCCTTAGTTTTTATACCATTTTGCTTTTCCTGAATAATGCAGAAAAGCAAATGAGCCTTGGAGTATGTTTTTGACTAATCTTCACAGGCTGTGTGTGAGAAGGCAATCTGCTAGATTGAAATCTGAAGAATCAAAACCCACTGAAGACTTCTTCGAGATAGAGGAAGCCAAATTTCCTGTATGTCCTTTGCATGATGATCAAATGCAGGGTGATGTTTCAACTACCATGCCTTCAATATTCAAAAAAGAAGATATAGATGGCAATTGTGCTTTTGGAAGAACATCGATCGGAAGGCCTGTGCGCCACGCAGCCCAGAAGATTCAGTCATACAAGGAAACTCCAATCAATGTGAAAATGCGCAGGCCTGCATAACCAGATCTTTTTTGACAACATTCTTCATATTGTTGGGGCGAGTTGCAGATGAGTGCTGAAAGAATGAAACTCTTCGTTACCTGCTCCGTTATCTTTCTTTTAAGAAACATTCTTGTTCTTTATGTTCGCTCTTTTGAACCACTTGAAGTTTGGCTGCTAGTTCACTGTAAGATTTGAAACTTGACTAGTTGACTATATTAATATACATGTCATTGAGCTGTGTTGATCATACTGCATTTTTATGATTCAAAAGTTTATTTTTTCCTCCGGATATTTACAAAATTTCATGTTGAATGACTCAATTTTCCTCCTCTTGCTTTACATACATACAAAATCAAAAGGCATGCAGTCATATAAATCCTCGGAAGCTTCTGTGGTTGGCATTTGTAAACAAGTAGAGTTTGGAAAGTAGGACTGGTCCTTGGCATGTCCTTGTTTACATAAAGCTTTATGTTGATGTATATAGTTATTTTTGAGCTATGGTCTTGAATATTTGCCGTTGCTTGGACTTTGTTACAACATTTGACGTTGCTAGGACCGTGGGACACTTATGAATCGGATCCTCAGAACCAGTATTGTATTACTAACAATGCACCGCCTGAGTTGTGCATGAATAATTTTTTTTTAAAATATTTAGTATGTGCACTTAAATTAAATATCTTCTCAAATTTATTAAACTTATTTTCATCGCTCATGCTCCACTATAGAATTTTTGAAAATTTTATATGTTTTCAAGATTTGTAATTCTCACTTTAAGAAAAATGATAAAAAAAGAAAATAAATAATTAAAGTTTTATTTTTTCTATAATTTTGTAATTGAAAGTAATTTTTTATTGATGTTTGAAAATTAAATTTTTTAAAATTAATTTGATTAAGAATCACTTATAAATCATTGAATAAAATAAAAATAATTACCAATCAAATAAGAATCTTATTGTATTTAAGATTAGTTGTTCAATTGAGATAAAATTTAATATACAACGCTATAATATATATTATAAAACATATTAAAATTTTTTAAAAAATTCAAGTTTTCACATAAAATTTTAACACAGTTTAAAAAATTGATGGTGACTAAAAAATCATGTAAAATTATATATATGTTATTTTTTATCTTAAAAATAAATTGGTTAAATATTTTGATAAAAAATAAAATATACATATGTAGTCATAATATTATCTTTATAAATGAGATAAATAGTATTATATTTGATGGTTCTCGGAATTTATGGCTCAAGCCCAACTATGATGGGATAGTGTTGTGAAATGGTTTTGTAGATTGCGGATTAATTTTTTATGATTAGTTAGACTGGGAATATAAGTGGTTCACCTTAGATGAAGGACTAAGGCTACATCCACTATCAACGGAGTCTCTTGCTTGCTAGGTTTATATATTCATCGGCCGGCAAAGTGCCTCCAATAACTTGGGACTTGGAGTTCACTTACAAAGGATGAGTATCTAGGTATTTTCTCTCAGCTTTTTACTCTCTTTGACTCTTAGATGTTCTCTGATATTTTTCGGGGGAGATGAAGTCCTCTCTTTTTTAGGTTATTGTTATCTATTTATATTAACCTCTTTTAGGGCCTTCAGTTGTTCTTTCCTCTGTCCCCCTCCTGCTTCTTCTGCCACCACACCACGATTACTGTTCATTCGGCGCTGCCGTTGTCATGATCTCTGGCGGCCTGGTGCTCCACCTTCTCTGAGATTGTCGTAGGTGTCAGGAGTGGTCCCCCTGGATCCCCAGGATGCGTGGTCCCCTTTGGCGATCCAGAAATAGCTTGGACTGAGCTTTCATTCTCCAAGCCGATTTATGGTTTGGACTGAGCCTGAACTGCTGGGTTATAGGCTTTTTGCCGGTGCCAAGCCCTCCTTCATTGCTTCGGGCCTCTTGGGCTAGTCAGGCTTCTGGGCTATCAAAGCCCTAGTCTTGAGTTTCGTCCGTATCAGTTGCCCCCCAGCCCCGAGTCATGAAGATGTTATCACTTCTGGCCTGGGGTTAAAAATGACTTTTCTGGGCTTGTTATGGGCTTTTGAANAAAAAATTCAAGTTTTCACATAAAATTTTAACACAGTTTAAAAAATTGATGGTGACTAAAAAATCATGTAAAATTATATATATGTTATTTTTTATCTTAAAAATAAATTGGTTAAATATTTTGATAAAAAATAAAATATACATATGTAGTCATAATATTATCTTTATAAATGAGATAAATAGTATTATATTTGATGGTTCTCGGAATTTATGGCTCAAGCCCAACTATGATGGGATAGTGTTGTGAAATGGTTTTGTAGATTGCGGATTAATTTTTTATGATTAGTTAGACTGGGAATATAAGTGGTTCACCTTAGATGAAGGACTAAGGCTACATCCACTATCAACGGAGTCTCTTGCTTGCTAGGTTTATATATTCATCGGCCGGCAAAGTGCCTCCAATAACTTGGGACTTGGAGTTCACTTACAAAGGATGAGTATCTAGGTATTTTCTCTCAGCTTTTTACTCTCTTTGACTCTTAGATGTTCTCTGATATTTTTCGGGGGAGATGAAGTCCTCTCTTTTTTAGGTTATTGTTATCTATTTATATTAACCTCTTTTAGGGCCTTCAGTTGTTCTTTCCTCTGTCCCCCTCCTGCTTCTTCTGCCACCACACCACGATTACTGTTCATTCGGCGCTGCCGTTGTCATGATCTCTGGCGGCCTGGTGCTCCACCTTCTCTGAGATTGTCGTAGGTGTCAGGAGTGGTCCCCCTGGATCCCCAGGATGCGTGGTCCCCTTTGGCGATCCAGAAATAGCTTGGACTGAGCTTTCATTCTCCAAGCCGATTTATGGTTTGGACTGAGCCTGAACTGCTGGGTTATAGGCTTTTTGCCGGTGCCAAGCCCTCCTTCATTGCTTCGGGCCTCTTGGGCTAGTCAGGCTTCTGGGCTATCAAAGCCCTAGTCTTGAGTTTCGTCCGTATCAGTTGCCCCCCAGCCCCGAGTCATGAAGATGTTATCACTTCTGGCCTGGGGTTAAAAATGACTTTTCTGGGCTTGTTATGGGCTTTTGAAGCGATGACTGTGTCCGACTAGTGGTTCTAATCAGGGTTGAGCCATGCCTTCGTTTGCCCGCAATAATGGGATGAAAATGCACACGTGTCACCATCGGGTGAGCTCGTGGGTATGACTTTTGTGGCACGTCCTGTCACTTGTTTGTCATGAATTTAATGCTTCACATATCCATATATGTCCCTCAAGGGGGGGGGGAAGGTCTCTTGGCTTTTTGTTCAATGGTTCCGAGTCCCACTTTCCTTCGTGCTCTTTTCTCTTTCTGTGCATTCGAAGTGTTTTGATCCAGACTCTTGGGCGACTTACGACATCCTTATTCTGGTTCTCCTCTTCCTCTAGCGTTTCACTAGGTACGTCTTTCTTCCTTTCTCCTTGCTATTTCGACCTGGATCCATTTAACCCTCCCTGGTGGGGTTTTGGGTTCTGCTTCCTGATCTGGAGGTTTAGTTATTTTAGAGAACACTCTGACGACCTTTCTTTCCTTTCGCTATTCGTAGGCCATTCTTTAGTGGCGAGGGTATCCTTACTTAGGGCCTGGTGTTTGAAACCTTTATTTTTGGCAGATTGTGCTTTACATTTCCCTTCCCTTCACTCCGGTGTGAGATCTGATCTATTGATGGGAAAATTTGTCGTTTCTTCTTCTTCCGAATCGGAATCTGTTAGTGGGGAGGCCGAGAAGACCACTACAGCTTCCTCTAGTGGGCGTTCTCTTTCCGTCGGCGGCGGAACCCTTGAGTCCACTCCTGGAGTTTCATCCCCGATGCCTCCAGCTGAAGCTACACCTCTCTTCGCCCAGCCTCCTGGTTCTCCGACCCAACCGAAGAAGAGAAAATTTGGGCCGGTTCTTCCCCCTGTTTCTAAAAAATGAATCCATCGTGAGTCATCTGACTTGACCTGTTGTGTGNGCCGGTTCTTCCCCCTGTTTCTAAAAAATGAATCCATCGTGAGTCATCTGACCTGACCTGTTGTGTGGAGGGGACCTCTAGCTGTCTTGGTGATGAGGATTTGGAGGAATTGAGGCGTGAGTATTGCTTTCCTGATTTCGTGGAATTACATTCCCCCGGGAAGCATGAAAGGTGTAATTCTATTCTCCTTGGATTCACTTGCTTCTTCGAGTCTGCATTCTGGGTTGGTCTTTGATTTCCTATCCATCATTTTATCCGAAATGTTCTCGAATTTTACGCCTGTCCAGCTTAACTATCCCCCAACGGTTGGGGCCTCCTGGTTGGTTTCCTTGTTCATTGGTTTGAGAGTGGGAACCTTCCCCTTCCCTCTATACGAGAATTTGCTTTCCTCTTTTAGCTGAAGTTTTCTCCCTCCTCAGGTTTCTTGTATTTTGTTAAACGGCTAAAGGCGAAGACTTTGATCTCTGGACTTCCGTCTTCCAATAAAGGATGAAAACCGAGGTTCTTTTTTGCTAAGGGCGATTCTTAGGAGCTGTTAGGGGAGCCCGACGACGTTCCGGCCGTGTTCCCCTTGTTATCTTCTTCTCTCCTTTTTTTTTGTTTTTAACTTTTAATCTGATTTGCAGAATTCTGCCCGGTATTTAGCACGGAGGAGGTAGCCCGAATTGCTAGAATTGAAGCCTTTGGGTTGAGGGGTTTCTTTGACTTAGTGACCAACGAAAACCTTGCTAAACATGGACTAGGACCGCCCATTATCCAAACTTCAGAGGTTGCACCACCTTTTGCCTCCCAGTCAAGTGACATGGACCAAGATCTGATCATGACAGTGTTTTCGGATACCAAGAAATTGAGAAAAAGGAGGAAATTGATGAAGGGAGGCCAACACCAACCAAAGAGACGTCGTCCATTGGGCCCACACCCACTTCCTTGGAATAGAAAAGTGAAGTCGTTCATCCCCGAGGGGATGCTGTCGTGCCCCCGCATTCTTCTGCACTTTCCAAGGGGAACACCTGCTCGGAGGGGGCTTCAGCGGACAAGCTCGGCTTTTCGGCCCCCCATTCTACCTCACCTGCGACGGTTTCTCCGAAGAGCGAAAAAGGGAAGTTCACCCCTTCTAAGTCTAAGGTGCGTGGGGGTGACTTTCTTTGCGATCCCGAGACCGCCGTGGCCGCTCTATCAGAGCTAATCTCCACGTCAGATCCTCAGTCGGTGATGGAGGTTCCCTTTAAAAAAAAGATCCAG